CAACACAATCCCCACCGTAATTATCCCTACCTCCACCCCTACCATAACACGACTGCCTTCAGTCCCCACCCCCACCGTAATGACACCACTATCTCCACCCTCGCGCCTGATTGTAACACGATTCCCCTACCTCTACCCCACCCCTACCGCAACACAATCCCTACCTTCACCCCCACCCCACCGTAATGAAACCCCTACTTCCACCCTCAAAGCCTACCGTGATGGGACGTTATCCCCCTACCTTCCACCCTCACGCTTAGCGTAACACGACCCCTACCTCGCCCACCCCTACCGCAACACAATTTTACCTCCACCTTCACGCCTACCGTAATAAAAACCCCTACCTCCACCCTCATGCCTACCGTAATGAAGCCCTACCTCCGCCCTCAGGCTTACCGTAACACGACCTCCTACCTCCACCCCGACTGCCTCCACACAGCCCCTATCCACCCCACCCTCTAGCCTCCACTGGCCCCTGACTGTGTCCCCATCCCTACATGTAACGTTATCCCTACCTTCACCCCCATCACTACAGTCACGAAACCATATTTCTGTTTTTTCAATATATACATTTCAATTTTGACTGTTTCCAGAACTCTCGGCGATAGGCCTGCACGCTCTGTGCGTCAAAAAGGTGAACAACGTCGAAATGAGCGCTTAGCTAATAATTCAATAATGTCTGTAGATATTGGGGGAGCTGACAGACAATACCAATATCCCACCAAGAACACGTTAAAATACTTTAAAACATTTGATACTTCAATCACAATAACACTTTAATAATCTGTAAATAGATTGAATTCATGTTTCGCACGAAGGCCCGCTCACGTTTTGTGTCAATTGGGATCCCGTTCGGTACAGTTTTCGCGCACTACACGAGGTGACTTGTCAACACAAAACTATGGGAAGTGCATTGTTTGTATCGTAACGGTATGGGACCATTCATGTATTGTAGAGAGGTATGCTCTGCGATTTTTGAAAAGAATGGTTCGGACGGAATAGGTTGGGCTGGCATGACGGTAGAAACTGATGACAGTATTATTTAGGGCTTTAGCATTGCAGAAAGGGCTAGGCAGTAGGGAAATAATATTGTGGTTCAGGGACTGTGAGATCTAGATCCACACCGCGAAACAGCTACTCACAGCGCATTATATGACATTATTATGATATCACACTGACTTTTCACACCGATATATTTTTTTCTTATTTTAAATATATATCTACCAACTAATATAGATCATTAAAACTCAAAAAACAGTCCACAACAATTACTAATTTCAGGAACTAACCTAACCAAGACTTGAATTCAGTAAAATTACCTATAGGCCAAATGTAGAGATAGCATAACACAACTGGTTTATCACCCACACTGCATATTTTGACTGCATCAGTGCTTGTCACCCTCTATTTGCATAATTATTAAACTATAAACAACAATCTAATCCCATTAACATCATATAATTCATTTTATATTTTGGGCGATGGGGTAGCCTCGTGGTAAAGTGTTCACTTGTCACACGCCGAAGACCCGGGTTCGAATCCCCACATGGGTACAATGTGTGAAGCCCATTTCTGGTGTCCCTCGCCATATGGTTGCTGGAATATTGCTAAAAGCGGCGTAAAACCAAACTCAGTCAGTCAGTATTAGACCATGGGGTTAATACTCATTGACTTGGGTTTGCTCAAATAATGAGCTGATAGTGCAGTGTTGAGGAAGACTTGTAGTTATAGTTTCATGGTGTCACTCTCCATTGTCGCTCTTTGCTGTTTCCTCTGATAGCTGAACTACACAAATTTATATCAGCTACACATTTCCTAAATATTCATTTAAAGGAAATATGCATCTGCCCCCTTGACCATAATAAGTTTCAGTTACATTATTTATATCAAGAGTTTCTAACTTTCAAATTTAACTTTTTGAACTCGTGCTTTGAACCCTGCCCCTTTGGGTGTTTATGACTATAATCTTGTCTGTCTACATGCCACTGCCACTCAGCCAGCATAATTATGACCAATACATCCTCCTACTCAGAGTGTGACTCAACTGACAACCATAAATGTAGGTTAGGTTGTATTTTCCTGCACTTGGTCCAAACTTGATATGGTTTCAAATGCTAGAGATTTTCCACTTCAGTTTGACAAATAAATATGTGTACTGATGCACTTGAATCTGTTAATTGAATATTGAGCATGAATGCAGTCAGAATTTCCTTTTTGAGCTTTCATAATTCCATTGCAGATATATCTTTGTATGTTTAATGCAGGAACATTTCCTCATTTCAAAGTCTAAATCCTGTACATTGTGTAACATAGGAAAGAGGGTAAACACCAGTGGACAGTTTTTATAAGATTAACTGAAAATCAAGGATGAATCTCACTAAAGACATTAAGACATGTTAATAAATACAGGTAGGAGAAATAATATCCCAAGAGAATTAAGATTTTGTCCATTTTGTAAGAACATTTTAGTAGATGAGGTTCATTTTATGTTTATTTGCCCACAATATAATGATTTAAGAACAGGATATACATGTATGTTAAATATTGACTGTAAAGATATAAACTCTCTCATTCGCCTTCTTCAAAATGAAAATAGCAAATATTTATCTATGTATGCAAAATATTTTAAGGAAGCGTTTATGCGACGTAGCGCATTGTTATTGTGAATATTTAAAGATATGTTCTAGTGATTGTGCACATCATTCCTTTTGTATTGTAATATACATTGTACATGGGCCTGTGGCCTGTCTACTGAATACAGTTACCGGTAGATATAAGACATGTTATAACTTATTGGTAGGTCAACAGACCAACTGTTTCTATGCAGGGATATGTTATTAGTCTTTTATGGATTTTTAAGTTCCCTTTGTGGTCAAATTGCATAAAAGGGTAAATTTTTTTAAAGCGGGGGTTTCTTAAACAAACTTCTTCCTTTTTATCCCACTGGCATGTAATGTGGTTGGATATAGTCGTCGCCTCGTCCGTCCGTAATCATTTTGTTTCCGGAGCATAACTCAAAGACCGTTCGATATTTTTTAACCAAAATTGGTAGATATGTCAAACATAACCTAAGGTGGTGCCTTTTGCTATTTACAGATTATTGTCATTTTTATTTTTCTCGGTTTCTATGGAAACGTTTTGGACTTAGTCTTAAAGAAGGGTGGGCTTCGTTTCCGGAGCATAACTCAAGAACCGTTTAGTATTTTTCAACAAAACTTGGTAGATATATCAAACAGATCCTAAAGTGGTGCCTTTTGCTATTTACAGATTTTTGGCATTTTTATTTTTCCCGGTTTCCATGGAAACGATTCGGACTTAGTCCCAAAAGTGAGGGGTGGGCTTCGTTTCCGGAACACAACTCAAAAACTTCTCTATATCTTTCAGCAAAACTTGGCGGATATGTGAGGCAGATCCCAAAGTGGTGCCTTTTGCTATTTGCAGATATTTGTGATTTATTATTTTCTCGGTTTCCATGGAAATGATTCAGACTTAGTCTCAAGCTGGACTTTAAGTAACTGTCAGATGATTTGTTCTTTCAAAGATGTGGGGGCCTGGGGGATATGTCATCTTCTGATGACTCTTGTTAAAAAAGGTGAAGTTTAACATTTCTTCCTGTACAAACAGTAAGAATTAAAGCCTCTTCCTGTTGTAAGTTACCTTTACAAAGCCATAACAACAGTTTCAGAAATGCCTCTTTGATACATCTATTCAGGTAGTGTGCTGTTCATCATTGGCCCATCATCGGCTAATAGTTTGCACTGTCGACTAATATCAACATATCTGAACAGCACTGGGCAGACAGTATTGACATAAATCATAGAATCGATGATCATTATTAGTAATAGTAACTTTGAACAAAAATTAAAAAGAAATGTGAAAGAAATCAACACATTTTGTATTACTGGTGAGTTTTGATATTTATGCATGGATGACTAACAAAATCCTGAACATGACTTAGAAGCAACCCATGAATAAAGACATAACTTTGTATATTGTGTGAGTAAATTGAAACTATGATATTATGGGTATTCTTAAATTCCATTCAAATTGACTTGATGGCACAAGATTTTTCCTTTGGTCACCCTTCAAATCAAGTTCAAAGTTGACAAATGCTGGAAAAAGTCAGGAAAGGTCTAGCCTGTCTCATAGTTCCTGAACTGCATTATTTTTACTTCCGTCTATGCCTTTCTGCAATGCTAAAGCCCTAATTTAAGCAAGTCTAGATTTACTTGGGTTCAGGAATCTCTCATCTCACTGAAGCTCCTTTTCAGTTTAAAAGGAATTGTTTGTTTGTATCAAAATTATATATATTCAGAGATTAAGTGCTAGTCTCAAATGGTCCTGTTAGACGTGGAAATCATATCCAATCCAGTTTATGCCTGGTAAGTTAATTTTATTTCACAAAAGTTTCTGAATATGAAACATTGTAAATTCATAATTTATGTATGTTGTTAGGGTGATAACCTAATCTAGTAGTATTTTAAATAGTGCAAACAATTATGAACGGGATCAAGAGACGTTGAGCTTGGCAGAGGAGAAATGTGATCTTCAAATTGCTGAATCAGAGGGGGAGTCTCTGAGGCATTAAGAGGGAGGAAGGGGTAGGTTATGTGATCCAGAGATCAATACCTTCATGTTAGTAGGTTTAAATTGTGAACACTAGTTTTACAACTTTGTTTAATATATTTCTACCTCAAATAGGGATGTCACGATACATAAGTTTCATGAATCGATGCGTATCACGATACTCATGACATGATTCGATATGTATCATGATACCTATTTTTGATGCATTATTGCGTGAAATTAGTTACATTTTGAACATTGATATTTAATATTTTATAATTGTCCATGAAAAGATCAACATTTTTTATTCTCAGGGATTAAAATGTTCTAATTTCCCATCTTTGTTTATGAAAAATAATAATTTATAACTCTCATAACATCAAAAAACATGATACAATTGCAAAATGTAAACGATACATATTGAAACATAGTTAAACCGATACTTTCAAAACTAAATATCGATACAGTTTTGAATGTATCGATAATTGTACCGTCTTAGAAAAAGTATCAATGTATCATGGCACCCCTAACCGTAGCAATGTTCTGGCTTACTTTAGAATTCAGCATCACAAACTTGCAATACCCCATGAAGTAATGCCTCATGAATCTTTGCAAATTGTTTAATCCTTCTCAATATTAGTACAGTTACCTTGAATGGTTGTGTGCCCATCAGTACCGTGTGCAGCAATACATGTGTTAGGTATTATCTCAATACATGATCATTCAATATTGATAAATGTAAGAAGAAATTCAAAATGGCCAAGAAGAGAGTATTTGATAGACATGGAATAGCGTTATATACAGATAGTCTGTCTTTGATGACATATTTGAAAAATTTAAAGAAAAACTGTATTTACTCTCATAACAAGCAGTTCCAGACAAGTATTGTGGTTCAGAATTTGCTCTTTTCACATATCAATAGGGTAATTTTCAACATTTTTAAGCTTTTCTATTGACTTTTGCACTTGAATGATGTGCAAACATTAGCAATTCAAAAATTAATCCCTGCAATAATCATGTCTTTTATAGAGATATCATTTTCACTTTCAGGTTACTATCTACTCATATCTTACCACAGTTTCATAGAGAGCTGATGCGTGTCGTGTTTCGTAGTGCACACAATTCAGGCCAGACCCATGAAGAGAAAATATTGGCTTTTCCCAATTCAGAGTATACAAATTAACATATTGCCTACATTTTGTTGTTTTTCTGTAGTCAACAATTCAATCTTCAATTGGATAATCAGGTGTATAAATGTTCTGACACCGTTCTGTTAATATCACAGGGGTGGCTGGGGGTGGGTTCTCAATTAAATTTGTTTTACATAATTGAATCAAGTGTTTAAATGGGTTGTTATAAAATGATTCATGTAATTGTTTATATATTTGCATTAATGCTTTTGTGTCCTTCATACACAGTAAATTCAGCAAATGAGAACTGAAGACACCTGTATTCCATGTCAGCAGATACATTTTCTTCCTTTACCTTTTCAGGATTGAGATGTAGTATCTGTGAGAAGGTACTAAAATGTAAAGGTAGATATCCTGTTCATCAGCAGACGCACAGTCAAAAGGTACCACCAGTTTTTAGTAGTTTCTTTCTAGATTTCAAGATGATTAACAGGATGTAGTGTTTTGACCACTGGACACATCCTATCTGCTATAATCACAGCCCATTGAGCAGCACATCCTATCTGTTATAATCACAGCCCATTGGGCAACACATCCTATCTGCTATAATCACAGCCCATTTGGCAACACACCCAATCTGTTATAATCACAGCCCATTGTGCAACACATCCTATCTGCTATAATCACAGCCCATTGTGCAGCACACCCTATCTGTTATAATCACAGCCCATTGTGCAACACATCCTATCTGCTATAATCACAGCCCATTGGGCAACACATCCTATCTGTTATAATCACAGCCCATTGGGCAACACACCCTATCTGTTATAATCACAGCCCATTGTGCAGCACATCCTATCTGTTATAATCACAGCCCATTGGGCAACACATCCTATCTGTTATAATCACAGCCCATTGGGCAACACATCCTATCTGCTATAATCACAGCCCATTGTGCAGCACACCCTATCTGTTATAATCACAGCCCATTGTGCAACACATCCTATCTGCTATAATCACAGCCCATTGGGCAACACATCCTATCTGTTATAATCACAGCCCATTGGGCAACACACCCTATCTGTTATAATCACAGCCCATTGGGCAACACATCCTATCTGCTATAATCACAGCCCATTTGGCAACACACCCTATCTGTTGTAATCACAGCCCATTGGGCAACACATCCTATCTGTTATAATCACAGCCCATTGTGCAACACACCCTATCTGTTATAATCACAGCCCATTGGGCAACACATCCTATCTGTTATAATCACAGCCCATTGGGCAACACATCCTATCTGTTATAATCACAGCCCATTGGGCAACACATCCTATCTGCTATAATCACAGCCCATTGTGCAGCACATCCTATCTGTTATAATCACAGCCCATTGGGCAACACATCCTATCTGCTATAATCACAGCCCATTGGGCAACACATCCTATCTGCTATAATCACAGCCCATTGTGCAGCACATCCTATCTGTTATAATCACAGCCCATTGGGCAACACATCCTATCTGTTATAATCACAGCCCATTGTGCAACACATCCTATCTGCTATAATCACAGCCCATTGTGCAGCACACCCTATCTGTTATAATCACAGCCCATTGTGCAACACATCCTATCTGCTATAATCACAGCCCATTGTGCAGCACACCCTATCTGTTATAATCACAGCCCATTGTGCAACACATCCTATCTGTTATAATCACAGCCCATTGTGCAACACATCCTATCTGTTATAATCACAGCCCATTGGGCAACACATCCTATCTGCTATAATCACAGCCCATTGTGCAGCACACCCTATCTGTTATAATCACAGCCCATTGTGCAACACATCCTATCTGTTATAATCACAGCCCATTGTGCAACACATCCTATCTGTTATAATCACAGCCCATTGGGCAACACATCCTATCTGCTATAATCACAGCCCATTGGGCAACACACCCTATCTGTTATAATCACAGCCCATTGTGCAGCACACCCTATCTGTTATAATCACAGCCCATTGTGCAACACATCCTATCTGCTATAATCACAGCCCATTGTGCAGCACACCCTATCTGTTATAATCACAGCCCATTGTGCAACACATCCTATCTGTTATAATCACAGCCCATTGTGCAACACATCCTATCTGTTATAATCACAGCCCATTGGGCAACACATCCTATCTGCTATAATCACAGCCCATTGTGCAGCACACCCTATCTGTTATAATCACAGCCCATTGTGCAACACATCCTATCTGTTATAATCACAGCCCATTGTGCAACACATCCTATCTGTTATAATCACAGCCCATTGGGCAACACATCCTATCTGCTATAATCACAGCCCATTGGGCAACACACCCTATCTGTTATAATCACAGCCCATTGGGCAACACATCCTATCTGCTATAATCACAGCCCATTTGGCAACACACCCTATCTGTTGTAATCACAGCCCATTGGGCAACACATCCTATCTGTTATAATCACAGCCCATTGGGCAACACACCCTATCTGCTATAATCACAGCCCATTGGGCAACACATCGTACCTGCTATAATCACAGCCCATTGGGCAACACATCCTACCTATCTGCTATAATCACAGCCCATTGGGCAACACATCCTATCTGTTATAATCACAGCCCATTGGGCAACACATCCTATCTGCTATAATCACAGCCCATTGGGCAACACATCCTATCTGTTATTACACAATGCCATTTACAAAGTGGTCAAGTGTAACATGTTATATTTGGGATTTCACTTTCTTATTTTTTAATTTGAGCCCCATCCGGGATTCAAACTCACACCCTCAGAGTCAGACACCTAATCACAAGCACACAAAGTCAGCCGCCTAACCTGCTCAGCTACCGCGACTTCCACAAAAATGGAAGTCGGACAACTGGTAGTCTAGACTGCAGACTTTGTGTACCCCTCTCATAAGTGTTAATTGACACGGCTCCCATGGCCGAAAGCTATGATTACACAATGCCATTTAGAAAGTGGTTTCTGTGGCAATCGCAGGTTAGGCGGCTGACTTTGTGTGCTGGCGATTAGGTACCTGACTCTGAGGGTGTGAGTTCGAATCCGGATGGGGCTCAACTTTAAAAAAGTACTAGAATTGTTTCTTTACTAAGAAAGCGTAATCCCAAAAATAACATATGTTACACATCCTATCTGTTATTTTTACATACCTTTGGGCAACACATCCTGTCTGTTATTTTTACATACCTTTTGGCAACACATCCTATCTGTTATTAACAGACCTTTGGGCAACACATCATATCTATCATCAGTAGACCTTTGGGCAACACATCATATAATCATTAGACCTTTGGGCAATGCATCATATACATCACTAATACAACTTTGGGCAACACATCATATGTATTATCAGTAGACCTTAGGGCAACACATCATGTATATTATCAGTAGACATTAGGGCAACACATCATGTATATTATCAGTAGATATTAGGGCAACACATCATGTATATTATCAGTAGACCTTGGGGCAACACATCATGTATATTATCAGTAGACATTAGGGCAACACCTCATGTATATTACCAGTAGACCTTGGGGCAACACATCATGTATATTATCAGTAGACATTAGGGCAACACATCATGTATATTATCAGTAGACATTAGGGCAACACCTCATGTATATTACCAGTAGACCTTGGGGCAACACATGTATATTATCAGTAGACATTAGGGCAACACCTCATGTATATTACCAGTAGACCTTGGGGCAACACCTCATGTATATTATCAGTAGACATTAGGGCAACACCTCATGTATATTACCAGTAGACCTTGGGGCAACACCTCATGTATATTATCAGTAGACTTTTTGGAAACACATCATACAATCAGTAGACCTGTGGGCAACACATATATATTTTTTCAGTACACCTTTAGGCAACACATTATATGTATTATCAGTACCCTTTGGGCAACACATCCTACAATCACTGAATGAGTAGACCTGTAGACAACACATCATGTGTATTATCAGTACACCTTTGGGCAACACATATACATGGTCAGTGGACCTTTGGGCAACACATCATATATAGTGTATATGCCAAGCTTTCTGTAGTTCACTTGTCTACAGTCAAATGTAATCAAACTTTGTATCCCTTAAGAGGATATTTAACTGTTCAGTTTGTAATCTATACTGAGTCAAAAAAGAAACTTCACAAAATGTAATTTGAAAAATAATGAATAATTTTTCTCTGATGATACATCTATGTATCCGAAATGGGATCCCTATCTTTCGACTCTAGAAATACGTTAGCAAAACCCACTCAAACCCATCCATTTGTCGTGGAAATGATGTTAGTGCCAAATCAGGTTTTGCACATGCAGTCGATCACGTGATCTTCGCATCGAAGTTTTCTTCATATACACGTGTTTGCATAGGCCTCAAGAATTGATAAAACACTTTAAAACCACAGTTCTAATGGTACTTGAAATGCCACAATTGTCAAATGTGCAACGTGAACGTGCCGTTGGCATGTTGCAAGCGGGATGATCAATTATTGACGTCGCAAGAGCAATGGGATGCAGCCGTCGTACTGTGTATGACTTGCGAGATCGTCTACAACAAACTGGCACCACTGGCACCCAAGGTCGGGTCGTCCACGTGTGATGTCACGAGCAGAAGACAGTCAAATCGTCCTACATCACCTACGTGACAGATTTCTGCCGGCTACACGAACCTGGGCTGTGATGTTGAGGGGTCGACTGTCCTCACAGACCATTCGAAATCGGTTGCGGGCTGCCAATCTCCATTCTCGACGTCCATATCGTGGGCCAATATTGATGCCATTTCATCAACGTCAACGTCTGCTGTGGGCCCAACGTCACCTCCGATGGACCCATAGAGACTGGAATCGAGTCGTCTTTAGCGATGAATCCAGGTTTACCCTCAGATTCGCGGACGGCAGGCATAGAGTCTGGAGACGACGTTGTGAACGGTATGCCGAATGTTGTGTACAGGAAGTCGACAGATTCAGGGGCGGAAGTTGCATGGTGTGGGGTGCTTTATGTGGGAACAACCGTTCCCGACTTCTGGTCATCCGTGGAAACCTCACAGCTGCTGCTTACCAGGTGCCCTCCCCTGAACTCGTTCCTTTCATGGCGGCTCATGGCCCAGGTCTACAGTTCCAGCATGATAATGCTCGGCCGCATACCGCGATGCTGACACAAAATTTCCTTCAAAACGCTGGAATCAACGTCATGGACTGGCCATCGAGGTCCCCTGGCCTTAATGGGATGCAGTTGGGAAAAGGCTTCTTGGTCTTAGGAACCAACCTCAAAATTTGCAGGAACTTGGTGCTGCCTTGCAAGAGCAATGGCGCAGAATCCCCAACCACGTGTTCACAAGCATCAGGCAGTCGATGAGGAGACGGTGTTTGGCGGTGGTGAATGCGTGGAGCGGCCATACACGATATTGAACTGAGAAATTTCGCATTTTTCTTCTTGTGACTTGACATTCTGTATACCCATGTTTTGGAACGGCGGTGTAGCCTAATGGAACTGATTATGGCACTGTCAGTGTATCGAGTACATCACACAGATCTCAGCAATGAAATAATAACAATTTACCCATCTTACCATCTCTTGTTCTTTTATAGTGCCCTGAAGAAAGAATGTGAAGTTTCTTTTTTGACTCAGTATAGTTACATCATATGTGTAAGTGGAGATTGGTTGTCACACTGTGCACTCAGCTGCAGTATTATATCATACATACTAAAGGGTTAAGATTTTTTTTGACCCGTGAAGATCCGGGGTAGAATAGGTCTTCAGCAACCCATGCTTGCCACAAAAGGCGACTATGATTATTGTAAGAGGCAACTAACGGGATCGGGTGGTCAGGCTCGCTGACTTGGTTGACACATGTCATCGGTTCCCAATTGCACAGATTGATGCTCATGCTGTTGATCACTGGATTGTCTGGTCCAGACTCTATTATTTACAGACCTCCCCCATATAGCTGGAATATTGCTGTGTGCGGTGTAAAACTAAACTCACTCACTCACTCACTCACTCACCATGATTCAACACTTCAAATGATATATGGCACCTACATAGATAGAAATTAGAAAACGACAGATCATGTATTTATTCTACTATGTCAGTACATACTGTATGTTTCTAGATTTGTAGGTTTCATTGAGTAGTCAATGCAAAAAAAAATTACATTTCAAACCTCAAGCTAAACATGTGTGTTCCAAATGTAATTTCTGTTTATCAAATACTCAACTTTGCAGGGAATAGTCTAAAGCCTGCGGCCACCAGACCCCCGGCTAGTTTTCAGAGTTTTTCTCAAAATGTCATTCTCATCCCTGAATCTGAAAAATTACCATGTCTTTTTTTTCTAACTAGATAACTAACCCTTAGTCTTCAGCACTGCTAGATCGTGGCTGACATACTGCCGACATATGTCATCGACTGGATCCAGTTGCATCATGCAGGACATGTAGGATGAAATACCACTGAACCAACTGTATGCAGAATTTTATGAAGTTTGGTTTAGAAGTTAGCGAATCAGATATGTACTTTTTTAACATATTTTCAGTTCGGACCTTTGTTTTACAAAAGCTGAATGCTGCCATTTTTGTCGATCAAAATGTTGTTTTTTTATCAAAATTTCTCTTTTGTTCAATTACTTTTTTGTTGCTTTGCTTATTTTATCATTGCGATGATAATTTCTCTGAGTATATACCAAAACGTGCATGTTGCTGCATATTAATTACGTCAGTGCTTTGCTTCATCATCACTTCACTTGTTTGATAAACACTACGCAATAAAGTTAACCATTATCTATCTGGACATCCTTCTCCTACCTTTCCCTTTCTCAGTGGTATTCAGTCTCTATCTGCTTAATGAAGCGATTACTACTACGTACTAGTGTAGACGGGCGGTGGGTAGCCTTGTGGTTAAAGTGTTCGCTGAAGGCCTGAGTTCGATTCCCCACATGGGTTCAATGTGTGAAGCCCATTTCTGGATTCCCCTACCCTGATGTTGCTGGAATATAGCTAAAAGCGGCGTAAAACTAAACTCACTCGCTACTAGTGCTGACCCTCATTTCTCTCATAGGCAGTGGAAGTCACTCCCATTCGATTTTCAGCCATGTTACCAGATTTAAATTTTAAATACTCAAGGCTCCATCTTTATAGAACTATTTCTATTGTTCTATATAGCAAACTTAATTTAAGGACTATATGTTGCTATATTGAATATTGCAGTTTTGTACTTGGAATGCTTATGAATAAATACTTGGTGTCGTTGCTATATGGCTGAAATAATGTCGATGCGACGTAAAACCCAACTCAACTCAACTCAACTGAAGTGATTAAAAACTAACATATACTACTCACACTTTGCTAAGGATCACAAAAAATCCCACCTTTACTTAAACATATTTATAATTTGAAATTGTATCCATTTAAAACTGGATAAATAATATTGTAACCCTTCTTTAGGCAAACAGCTAGTTTAATCTAGCTTCATGCACTTGATACATGAGTAAACATAAAAATGGTTTTAATTGCACCAATCAACCACTTTGCAAATCATAGAACAAGTCATTTACAAATACACAACACCTGTCGATAGCAGTATGGGATCCACAAGATGCAATGACATACTGAAACCTATGATCCATACTTACAATAAGCTTAGATATTTAAACCAAATTAGATCCCACATCATAGCTTTCTGTTGAATCAATGATTGTATCCTTAGCAAAGTGTGAATAGTATATTTAGGCCACAAGTCCTCATAATGATAAGAAATTAGCTAAATCTTTCAAATGGCAAATGTTTACGTGTCCTAATACAATCTTAAGTGGGGTAGAATAGGTCTTCAGCAACCCATTCTTGTCATAAAATGCGACTGTTTGTCGTAAAAGGCGACTAACGGGATCGGGTGGTCAGGCTCGCTGACTTGGTTGACACATTGTCATCGGTTCCCAATTGCGCAGATCGATGCTCATGCTTTTGATCACTGGATTGTCTGGTCCAGACTCAATTATTTACAGACCGTCGCCATATAGCTGGAATATTGCTGAGTGCGGCGTAAAACTCAACTCACTCAATCTTAAGTTGGGGAGTTGGGTAGAGACTATAGGACTAGAAGCTGAGTAGTGATACTCACTAGATTTGTACCTTGATGTTCTAACATGATTTTGAAAACTTTTTGTTATATTACAGAAAAGGAGACCATACAGGCATTTCTACAGATTTCCAAGCATGAATGCTCATGTCTTAAGCTGAGAACAAAAATGATGAACAAGCAGAAAATACAGCAGCAAAGGACAAGGAAGAGATGGCACACATTTCAAGAATAAGATTAACTTGAAAAATATTCAGATGATTTCTGAGGGATGTTACATGTGGGAATTCACTTTCCCAGTAAAGTACAGATACTATATAGCTATATAGTACTTTGCTGGTGGGGATGTAGTCAATCCCATGTGTGATTTGAACCCACCCTCTCAGAATGAAACACTTTATCACAAAACAACATAATCAGCTATTTAACCTGACAAATGTTAGTCAAGGTCTCTTTCAGAGAAGTGTAAATGCCAAAATTACAAATTTTTGCAAAGCTATGCAAATAAGCATGTCAAACTATTTGATTTAATAAATAGTAATTATTAAACTTACAATTTTTTCTTGTTCCTATCATTGGTTCGCACTGGAGTGGAATATGGCTCCATTTCCATGGTGGAAAAATAGGGGTGGGTGGTGGCGGAAGCACTTGCGGATCTAGCGTGTTGACTATCTCAAATGAGCCCCAGTTAATTCAGGAGTGGTCTGGTATGCCTCAGTATATGATAAGAGAAAGGGAATAGTCCCGACTGGCTCAAAATGGGCTGTGGTTTGGTGGTATTCAGACCAGACATCAGGCAAATATCTATGTCGGAGCCCCAGTATAAATTTATTCAGGAGTCGTCTTGTATGCCTCAGTGTCTGACAAGAAAACGGGAATAATCCCAACTGGCTCAAAATGGGCTGTGTTTAGATGGTATTCATACCAGACATCAGGCAAATATCTATGTCGGAGCCCCAGTTTATTCAGGAGTCGTCTTGTATGCCTCAGTGTATGATAGGAAAACGGGAATAATCCCTACTGGCTCAAAATGGGCTGTGTTTGGATGGTATTGAGACTCCAGACTCCAGACTCCTTTTCGTCATGATCAGTCATTAGAAATAGTGAAGTACGCAATGCCATTTTAGAAAGTGGTCAAATGCAACGTATTTTATATTTGGGATTACACTTTCTTAGTAAAGTACAGATTCTAGTACTTGTTTTGGGTCGAGTCCCATCCATTAACGTGGGTCCTTTTGGTGGAGGGAAGGTAAGGACATGGATTGGCTGATGTAAGTGACGTGATCATAGCTGATAGGTAAATATAGACTGCACGTCACAGATCAGGAAAGTTCAATGAAAGGTGTGGGTGTTTTAAGTCAGTCGTGCAGAAAACTCTCCATTAAGCGATAAAAAACAAAAGCTAAGTGTCCTGAATAGATCTATGTATAGCATGCTGCCCTGAATAGACAGACAGACAGTACCCGTCAGCCCGGTTTTGAATTGAGCGCGCTTGACAACTCACGTGACTCCATCGTTTTAAATAGCCTGCGCTCGACAGAGCGTGAGACCTGTTTTGATGAATGCAGGGTGTGTGTTGAAAGTACATCGTAGCACAATAGAGACGGGTTGTGTCAACATGGTTCGGAGACGGAATCTTCGAGTCATGTAAAATGTAGTTGAAAAACATTTCATACAGAACGCGTCCTGTACAAGTATAACACCATCAAAGTAATGGAAAGTTGGTGTATGTTTATATGTTATTTCATACTAGTTTTTTTCCCATCCCAAATATAGCGTGATGAGAAATGAATGATTTTGAGCCATGTACAATTGAGTTAAGTTGATAATGGATAGTTTGTTTTACTAGACAGCGAGATGTTTGAAATAAGAGGCTTAATATACACATGGATAGAAGCATATCAATATCATATAGCACACGTATAATACCATGAAAGTCACGTCATTTGGAGAGAGACGAAAGAAATAGAAATGTAGAGGCTAGGAATCTGCTTATTGAAACAGTTCTGCCGTGCCCTGTTCAGACAGAACATATTTTAGAAATTTAGGACGTGACACCCTCCCACCTCATCATTTCAAAATGGTAAAATGAGTTAGCTCATATAAAATAAAGATAGTTATACCCCAGTCCAAAAAAAGAACTCGCAAAATATCAGTGACATTTTGAAAATAACTAAATCCAGCTTCAGTTGTAGATAGCATCACATTATAGGCAACGTGATCAGACTGAAAAGCATAGTTCACAAAGTATACTCAGTACTCAAGGAGGAGAACATGCATGACTGAACAGTCAATGCAACAGGCAGGTGTGTGAACTGAGGGCTGTGAAGGGAAAGGTTCAATGTCCTTTCCCGTGTGAGCATACATGGGTGGTCCCTATCCCAACCTGTCTGTCGTGTCTACAGCGAAATACACGGGTGCGTTGAATGATCAGTTACTATATGTGAGTGAGTTATCATTAACGTCACATCGGCAATATATCAGCCATATGGTGACGAGAACACTTGACATTGAAATATATAGAGATTATAAAACCTGCCGACAAAGGACAGTAAAGCAACTAGATATACATGTAAAACTAGTGAGTGAGTGAGTTATTATTTAACGTCACATCGGCAATATTTCAGCCATATCGTGACGAGAACATCTGATATTGAAATGAAATATATGTATATTATAAAAAACCTGCCGACGAAGGACGATACAACAACTAGAATATCACAGATATGTACGTAAAACTAGTAATTAAATCTAAAACGTATTAACTATAGGGAAAACAATACAGTATAAAAGTGGGCTGTAAGTCGCCAATAACTGAAGGTAGATCACCATATCAGGGACCATGGGGACTTACATTACTTTTGGTACCTGCATGGACCCTAGTTGGATTTACACCATCCCTTCAGCCATTGGCGGCAGAAGAGAAATCTAGCCATAAATTAAAAGCACACATATTCTACGATTAAAAATGTGGTAAGCCTAAATTTACTCTAAATGTGTTGGGACTTACGTACTACTATATGTCCATCATTCGTCACAACCGTGCTATATAAGCACCACCCGAATATCAGAGCGTCATTTCAGTTTCAACAACGAGCGCGAATTCATCAACTTTTACGTGACCAGTCTGAACATGGACTCAACAAACGCGTAAGTATACTTCTTAATGAGGTCTCACTATTTATTTTTTATAAATGAGAATGCTACTGCTAACAAATGTTTTGATTTCAATAAAAGGGTATATGTTAGTATAGTAATTATGAGTTTCATGACCTAGTTTATGAAATCATGTAGAAACAATTTTTGTATCTCTAGCGTGAATTGAAAGAAAAGTTATGTCTTTCAGACAATTTACCTGTCCACAGTGCGGGAAAGGTTTTAATAGAAAAGATAACCTTTGCCGCCACGTGCGATCAGTCCACCGGGGAGAACGTTACGTGTGCTTTACATGCACAAGATCGTTTGCTTCAAATCAAAAACTGAAGCAACACAAATGTGCCTTGTCGCAACAACGGCTATCGGAATATCGATGTAGCGTGAGTAGTGTTTATTATTTATGTGTAAGTTCTCGCTTCTGTCTGCTATAATATCATCAGATATATTTGATCATATGTAGAGATATTATCTTCCTATGTCTTTAACCGACTGTTTCATAAGGTGTATATTTTAAAGATGTGAGCAATGTTGTCTACAGTTTCAAATGTTACTTTGACATAGTATCGCAGTGGTTATCAACAGTAAAGTTAAATGTTACAGCGACATAGCGACAAACTTCCCCTATAATTCAGAGCTATTTGCTTAAACATGTTACTTCTATATACAGAAATGCCCCGAGGTGTTCCCTTCTCCCCGTGAGCTGGGCGTGGATTTTCGGCGCGTTCATTCTTCTGGTGAGTTTATGTTCATCTCCGACATTAATCTTGTCTATGTACTGCTTCCGTTTATTTTCGAGCGTGTTTTAGTTTAATATGTACAAATAATGATGTATATTTACAGGCACAACTACGCAAACAGATGTTCACGCACGCCCGTCTACCTCGAGAGGAGTGCCGGTTAGTGGGGGTAAGTTCTATTATATCTCTTCATTCATCCATGTACGATGGTTAGTATTACCGAGGTTCATACTGCATAGGGTTTCAATGTGCGTGCGTGCGTGCGTGCGTGCGTGCGTGCGTGCGTGCGTGCGTGCGTGCGTGCGTGCGTGCGTGCGTGCGTGCGTTTGTAGATAGCATCGGCAGGGGAAAGTTTTCAATAAATTGTTTGGGTATTTCAGGGACAAACCAGCCGACACCGTCCACCTCCTCGGACCAGGCTGCAAGGGCGGGAAACTGTCGTGGTAGTGGAGGTAGATATTGAATAGTATTTTATGTGCTAAGGTTGAGTTGAGTTGAGTTGGGCTTTACGTCACATCGGCATTATTCCAGCCACATAGTGACGAGAACAAGTTTGCATTAGTAAACATTGTAAGTACATACTCGGAATGAGTTTTATTTCAAAGACATTTATTGATTACATTGTCATTCAAAAGCAGAAAAAGTCATAGCATCAAATTTAAAGGCAGGCGGTTTGTTACATTTCATAGTTACAATTTATGGTTGATACATTTCACAGTTACAATTTATGATACAGATCAACTTCCCTCAGGTAGTTCAGTATCAGATGGGAGCTCACGCGTGAGAACAGATCTGTTAAGTTTGTTGCATCATAATGTGAGTCCCTTGCAGGCGATAAGTCCACGCATTCAAGCAGAATGTGCTTGACGGTGAACACCTCATCGCAAGAGACACACATGGGGGGTCCATCCCCATCCGTTTTCAGCAGATAGTCATGTGTAAATCGACTGTGGCCAATACGACATCGTCGTAAAATTACCTCATCGCGTCTTGACTGACAACCCAAGTAGGTATAACCGATTGTTCATGGAGTCTGGAGTTTGTTTCTTCCTACTTGAGTGTCCCACCTTTTTTGCATCAGGTCCCGAGTATAGCTTTTGATAGTGGGTTTGAAGTCACTGTACGGGATTACCAGTGGAGATAGGGGCTTTTCAAGAGCTGCTTTTGCTGCAGCATCGGCCTTAGTTTTACCTGCTATGCCGACGTGACCCGGCAACCAGCAGAGGATGATGTCATATTGGCCAGTAGAAAGGTCGTTGTACAGTTCTAATATGTCCAGGATGATTGGGTGACTTGAAGTCACATTTAGAAGTGCTTGAAGGCAGGATAATGAATCTGTAAATACGATGAAGTTTTTGGACTGATTTTGCTGTTGAATGTAGATCAAAGCTGAGAAGATAGCGTTGGCTTCAGCGGTGAAAATGGAACTGTTGTCGGGGATCCTAGAGGAGACAGTCTTGGCTCCGATGACTGTAGCGCTGGCAACTTGGCCATCGTCCTTGGATCCGTCTGTGAAAATGGATCTGTGAGTGATATACTTCGAACGTAACTATTATTATTATTATCTTCTAACGATGAAGTTGAAGTCACCCGCCGCTGGAAAATTCTCATTTCTGAAACCCCGATCCTATGGAATGTATCGCCTCTATACCTACTTAAA